TTTAGTTGAAAACTTCTATTGCAATTATTCACTTATCAAATCAATTCTTATTATGAACTTTTAGTTATATAGATTCATAAAAAGATGGCAACCCTTTTAAAAAATTTCAGTTGCAAGTTATCTACAAATTCTGTAGTGTTATAGCCATATTCAAATTCTTTTTAATGTTAGCAACCTGTTTTCCAAAACTTTAAACAGTTGGCAACCCTGAAATTTTTATGGTTTCAAACCATACGGCTATTACAGTGAACAATTCATATAAGCCTGTTTTATCCATTCAGCGTTCGATATATATAGCTGTATTCTGTGTTATTGCTAGCGTGACGGAATTTCGTTGCGTTACACAATTTTGTTGCAGTCAATGACCTTAACCAATAAATAAGTTTTTTTACAAAAAAAAAATGTCTCTAATTTTTAAACATTTTACTTATTATTACCTTGTACTCAGCGTTAAATACACTCCTAAATAAAGGCATGACACTTTAGCATTTTGTCTTTGAATTTTTTTATATACTCGTATTTGAGTGCTTCTACAAATGTTTCCCGAAATTCTTAACAATTACTTTTTTAAAGTACATTTTTTTACTTTTCATGTTTAAAAATAATTTGTTTTAATACATTATTACCGCAGTGTAGCAACACTTCCGTATACTTTAAAGTCTTCTCATATATTAATAACCATCTATTAATAACGGGATACACTACAACATCAGTGAAAATAGACCGTTGAAGACAAAGGAAATTATTCCAAATAAATACCCTGTCATGTAAATTGCTTCCTTAAATTTTTAAAATTCTTATACATTTTTTTTTTTAATTTTTTGAAAACAATTTCAATGAAGACAACTGGCGACACTTGGAATAAATTTAAAATTTAAGCTTTAAAGCAAAATTAAATGAAAAATAATTATATAAAAATTAACGTGTTATAAAAATATATTTTCCTTTTCCAGCAATACAGTGCTGAGATATATTTATATAAGTCCACATACATGCATATAGGTATATACATAAGTATGTATTCATTAAATTATATACTCATATAAGCATATATGTAGTCAACTACTCAATTTACAGCTAGTTAAATAAACCGAAAATACAAATTATAAGAAAAAGCCAACGAAATTTCCTTGACACAAATTGCGTCGTCAAACTGTGGTAAGGCTTTTCGTTCACGCGAGAGCCCCAAATTTAACTTGCCATAAAGTTTTAAGCGCACGAGATTTTTGAAACTCGCACAGACTTGTTTGTTTATCGTTAAAATTTGCAGGTATGTAAATTGCCTAGAAATTACAGCGCGAAAAACAAGGGCTTTATCAGCGGAAAGATCCAAAATAAATGCAAATTCACACGAATAAAGCTGCTTGTTGAGCTCATACACGAATTGCATGCAAATAAAAAAGTTTTTGACGAAGAAATATTGACTAAAAATAAAGCCATGACAACGCTGATATTTTCCTGAACCTGAAATTTTAACAGCAATGTAGGACACGTCGTCAGTCAATGTAACGGAGTGGTTTAGTAAACAACAAAACCTTAAAAAAACTAAATTTCAGGTTAGATTGTAAATTTCGTTGTTATCTCTTCTCTTTCTTAAAAGATAAGTCCCCAAAAAAACGCCAGTTACTAAAAAAATTTCCACTCTTATAAGTTTACTGGTAGAAAAGTGCTTAGTGTTTCTGAAATTCTTCGTTAAATAAATCCATTTGTAATGTATTTTTTTTTACTAAGACAGTGAATTTGTTTTGCAACCTCTACGAAGTCGGTGATCAGCCAAATTCTCAATTTTCTTTGGTACTCTCTAAAAATAACACCTGATACGATTGAACCGAGCTATGAGAAATGTTTACAAAGAATAGGCAACTATGGTATATACACCAGAGCTGAAGCCTGAAAATGGTAAAAAGGTAAAAAATAATAGTACGATGAAACTCATTGGCGAAGGATTTGTAAATAGTAGGAGTTGGTAGGGAGGGGCTTGAGAGAGTTTTTAAGGGTTAAAAACGGCTGATCTCGGCTTCCGAAAAAACTACAAGTAATGTGGAAATAAGTTGCGAAAGTTGTAGGTAATAAAAAGATTTAAACCTTTTGTCGAAACACTTCTTTCACATAACCTAAAAATTTGCGACGAAAATTCAAACAACCAAGTTTTTTTCCTTTTTATCTTTTACACAATTTTTTTAAATTTAATTTTAATCTCTTATGAATTAAATTTTTTCTTTTAAGAAATAGTTGGGGTCAACTAACTTTTTATGTCGCTAAAACATCGTAATTTTTTTGATTTTAAATATTTACTTTTTCACCTTATTTTGACTTAATAACGGAAAAGGATAATAATTTTCAATCGAAAATTCTTACTACAAAATAATTGATTTTTTTTAAAATCGGTAGGCGTTTTCTTCATTGAGATCTCTACTTTTTGATTATTAAAAACATATGTACATAACAATCAATAAAGATTCCACTAAAGGATTCAAAGCTGTTTTTTTACAGTTGATACTACAAAATAACAGGTGCAACAACTTATAAAATGTAGTATTTTCAATATGACACCTATAGAATATATATCATAGAAATATCAAAACTAGTATCGAAAAGACCGGATAGTAGATTGAAATATACTTGATGCATACCCCAAACTACTCGTTAAGTTTAATCGCAACAGAATGCAGGAATCACCAAGGAACTTAATACCTTTGTGTTTCTCAAAGACTAACAGTGGGAAAGCCAGAGTCAACGATTAGAAACATTTATAATAAAATAATCACAATTGCTTTCTACATATATACGCACATACTTCTTACTAAAATTTTTGGTTTTCAAGGAATATCTTCATTACCTTACCTTCTTCTTATTTCTTAGTACCTTACCTAACTCAATAATAAGGCGCATGATCGAGCTCTGACAACAACATATTTATTTTTTTGTTGTGACCAAGACAACTTTTTAAATCTAATTATCTGAATATCAATACGAAGAGCAATTAAAAAAAAAAATTGTTACCTAGGAAAGCACGAGCTGATAGCGCCATCTGTTGTTAGTATTAGAATTTGGTTTGTAATCGTTGGGAAATTAGGATTTTAAATACCATTTCAAAGCAATTTTGAATTAAATTTAATGGAGTATCTTTTTGAAAATAAATATACTTAAATTCCAAATGCCTGTATAACAAAATATTATTTCATGCTGCAAGCAAATATTTAATAAATAATGAGAGAATAGTCCGACATTCATAAGTTCATTTACGGAATGATCTGCGATAGATAATCTTGACTTTTTGCAAAGAAAGATTTAAAACATTATATATAGATTATATTGTGTGTGGGAAAAAGTGGAATATAAGGTATCTAAATTATATGCTAAGTACCTCTGTAGAGTTCTACAGAGCGTAGTTAATATTTTTGGGTCGCGTATATTTCGTCGCTTCTCTCACCTAATTTTGACTTTTTCGACATCCATTTATAGAGATATACATTTTTAGAGATATAGATTTTTTCTTCTTTTGAATGCCTTAAATGAATTTCAGTGTACTACAATTTGAACGCTGAAATGATGAACGAAGAGTCTTCGTAGTAAATATTGAATTTTTTGTTTGAATGCTCGGCTACTTCTTTGTACAAGAAATTGTGAAGGTATTAGGAAAAAATTCAATATTGTCATTTTATTTAGAATTGCTCTGGACTGTTATTCGAAATTCGACACTTGTCTATCCAGCGTTAATTGTTTGACAGCAACAGGGTTGCATTTTAACTTGCTATATGAATAATATAAATAATTTTATCGACGTGTATTATTATTTTTTATAGCAAACAAATTGATTAAATTGAATTACGTGCATTTTTCACTAAATAATTTTTCACCCAAAATCCATTTACCGTTGTTTTTATTAGTTCTTGCGTAAGTACGAGCAATTCTCTACCAAAAAGTTGTTTATTTGCTTTTGGTTATGATGTTTTTATTGTTGTTTTTGTTTTTGCTTCGCATAACAAACACATAAAACATTTTTATTGGAAACACTTAAATGTTCACTAGCCACTTGAAAATAAACACAAATAAATCGTGTAGGGAAAACAAGAGAAATTATGTTAACATTTTTCAATAATTTTTGTGTTGATTTAAACGCCTGCGGTTGCATAAATAACACTTGCGATCATAAATAATTGTAAGTAGTACGAATTTGTGTGGTTTAAACGATTGTTAATTTGAGTGCTTAAATATTGAAATCTATCGTATATTTCAAATGTCGATTTTTAACAAGAAAAAATTGCGTATGTCGAAATGAATGAATTTGGATAATTTTCCACGAATTGAAAACTTGAGTTTTGGTGAGAATAGAAAACAAGCGATTAATTTAAAGTAAATCAGGCTATTTTTATGGTGTTTATACAATTTTTCGGAAATAAAAAAGAAATTCCGTTTTTTTTCTAAGTATAGAATGTGTATGTAGACGCTTATCAGGACCATGTCTTACAGACATAGCTGCAATACAAACTGAGCGATCAAAATTGAATTCTTGTATAGGCAACTTTTTCATTTGACAAGATATGCTCACAAAATTTGGCATGAAATATTATCCAAGACAACACTATTATCTCTGAAGAAATTGTTCAGATTCGATCCCGATAGCATATATCTGCCGTACAAACTGACTAATCAAAATCAAGTTCTTATATGAAAAACTTGTTTATTTGACAAGTTATGTTCACGAGATTTGGTATAAATTATTATAAAAGACAACGTTACAATCTCTGAAAAAATTTTTGAGATTGGCTCACTATAGCATATAGCTGCAATACAAACTCAATGATAAAAATTAAGATAATTATGCTAAAAGAAATATACATGTGCAGGGTATTATATTTTTACAAAAAAAATTGAAATTGTCAAAAAAATTCTGTTTATAATTTCATTGCTTTTCACACAATTTAACTTTGCAACCCTTTAATCGTAATTTATGTTAATTCTCATTCACTTCTTTTGTGTTGAACGCTTGCACTCACCAGTCCACCCACACCGCAATAGATTGACAGCGATACCAGCAAACCGATGTGATTTAGCGCCGATTTCCATTTACTCGATTTCCAACAACCTTTCCAGCAATTAGTGCGCTCCTCCGTCTTGACGCGCACATCCAAATGCTTGAGTTTCTCGAGCAGCTCTGTATTGGCCTCATCGGCCGCATCGTAACCAGCCATATTTTTCACTTTTTATTATACTGCACAATTTTTACTTAAAATTTAAGTGCTTTGTAATCCTACGCCATACACTTACACATACATGCAAAGGCATGTATTCAAATATGTATGCACATAAATGCTTATATGACGCATGTGGTAGTAATTTTCACTTTATAATTTCAATCGAATCACTTTACGTATCATTTGTTGTCATAGGCGCGTACACACACTCACATACTCGTAATTCACGTATTTTATTGGTTTTCGCTGGGCAGCTTACTCGTGGTTCGTTGATTATAAATAAATAAAATTTTTTTCTGAATTTTAAAAGCAGCAACTTTTTAGTAGTATTGTTGTTTTTGTAAAGAATGCGTGATTTTTTATTTACATACTAGAGTAAGTGGACTTCTTAGAGCATCTCTCATGGGACACACAGGCGAATGAGCAATATTTTGACATTTATTAAAATTTATCTATAACTTTTAGTGGCTTTCACAGCATTTTTAAGTAAATTTTCTTTGTAATATTATAAAAGAGAGAAAAAATTGTCTCTATTCATTGTAAATCATTTAGATTCTGCTCTCCAGTAGTGAAAATTCTATGAAGAGCAAAAATAATTACAAAAAAATGCTATTCACTGGATTTTTATATGTCTATATGTATGCCGTGTCTTTCTTATATCTAATATGTTTCTAAGTTTGGCTGTGAATGAGCAAATTTTTTAAGTACTTTCGGACTTTACAGGTTGGTTGATAAGTTGCTGTGCTCGAAATGAAAAAATACTGTTTTTGATATGATATATATTTTTTTATTCAATATAATCTCCCTTAACTTCAATACACTCATTCCAATGATCCTTCAATAATTTTATAATTTTATGCCATACCTATAATGCTTCTTCATTCGACGAAAATGCTTTTCACGAAGAAATTGTTTCAGAAGTAGTAGTCAATACGGATGCTAAAGCAATTCGTACTTTAATTCGTTGAATTCTATCATTATTAAAACACCTTTGTGGGCCGGTGCATTGTCTTGATGAAAAGTGATTTTTTTGTGTTGCAAACCAAGTCTTTTCTCACGAATTTTTTCATTCAGCTGATCAAAAAGGCCGCAATACTATTCAGAGTTGATTGTTTTACCTTTCTGCAGATAATCAATCAACAAAATTCCTTTTGCATTCAAAAAAGCTGATGCCATAACCTTCTTTGCTTGTTAGTTGTGACTTCACCTGGTTTGGTGCTGAATAACCAGCTTCAGTCCACTGTAAACGTTCTTGCTTCAATTTTGGATCATTGTGGTAGATCCAACTCTCATCCATAGTTATAAAAAGACGCAAGAAATCGGGTTTATTTTGCTCCAGATTATGCTGAGTAATTTGTTTTCGATCCATTTTTTGTTGAATTGTTAAAGTGTGCGGCACAACTTTCCAAACAGCTTTTTCATATGTAATGCTTCATGTAAAATTTGAAGTACTCATTCGTCTGAGATGCCTATGGCATTATAAATTTCACGCTTAGTCAAACTTGGTTCTTCACTAACAATATTATGAACCAGCTCAATATTTTCTGGTGTGGTTGCGGTTTTGGATCGTTCTTCGTGTGGATCGTCTTCAAGCCTACTACGACCACGTTTCAATTCACCAGGTGAGGACTCCTTATACACTACTAAGAATTGTTCATGAATTTCCGTTGCTTTTTAACTCTTCAAATTAAAGAATCTAATCACTGTGCGATATTAAAATTTTCCACATATTAAAAATACTCTGACCATCAACTTCAAATGGCTTGTAAACAAAGAATTAATTGATTTGTAACTCTGCATGTGTTCTCACGACAGATGTATTAAAAAAAAAAATTTGGATCTAGTAGTGTTATTTCTTAGTGAGTGCTAGCAACTTTTCAACCAACCTGTACATTGTAGTGCTCAAATATTGCCTTTATCAATTTGTGATATAAATTCCGAGCTAGAGTATATAATATTCGTATACTATGAAGTCTGAAAGGAGCAATATTTTTATACCCTGTACAGGGTATATTAAGTTTGAAACGAAGTTTGTTACAGCCAGAAGGAAACCCGATAAAATATATATATATATAAATGGTCTGCTAGACGAGTTGAGTTGATTTAGCTATGTCTATCTGTTTGTCCCTCTGTTCGTCCGTCTATCTGTATATACTCTCACATTTTGAGATATTGATTTGAAATGTTGCACCTGTATTTTCCTCACAAAGAAGCTGTCGGAACCGTTGATATCGAATCACTATAGCATATAGTTGTCATACACACTGCACGATCGGAATTTAGTTCATGTATGAAAAACTTTTTTATCTGAAAATTATTTTGAAAATTTTTTAAAAAGCTTTTTTAGTCTCTGCTGCCCTCAACAAAAATTGTATAAGAGCTAATCCAAAGGTATTTGACTGAGCATTATCTTGGGCCTAGGTGCTTTGTGAATATTAACCAAATCGTTTAGTTCGATTTTACTTAGTTGTTGCCAATTTCAATGCAAATATTTCAGTTAACGCTACCCTTAATCTAGTTTTGAGCTAAACTTTTCTGAATGTATTCCAAGATCTAATACTTTTCTGTGAAATTCATTGCTGACACATATGAATATAACTATTGATATTGGTTGCCTTGTTGCTATCTACATGTTTAGGGAGCCAAATCTTGTTCACTTTGCTTCTACCGAAAACCTGTTGATTGTTTCTGTTTTGTACTTAGCCTAAAACCATAATTATATGGGCTGCTGAAAATGTGTAGCCTTTTGTGCATTTATTATCTGGTTAATTTATAATAATTTATGTTAACCTAGTAGAAATCAATTGTAAGTGAAAATTTTTAAAAATAAATTTTGTCTAACCATTTGCACCATATGTCATATGAGAATCAAATATTTGAAAGCATTACCACTTTAATTAATGTCAAGTACCCCACAATAACTGTTAACACAAATTTGTTTTAATAAATTTTGATGTTAAAAAGTTTGTTGGAAATAAAACTTTTTCTTCTTTTCACTAATTTTCTCTTCAGTAATTTTTTTTCTCTGCTTTAGGTCTAATTTATTTGAATGTTTTTACAATTTTTTAAATTTTTTTTAATACATATTAATAAAGTATATTTTTCGAAAACCATATAATGTGTAAAACCTTGTTTTTACATTTTTAAACATTTTTAGTATGTAAAAAATTTAGACAATTGTCCACAAAAATAGCTAAATAGTATAAAATAAGTATCGAACCCGTAAACTTCAGTTGTTTTAAAAAAAATTATTTATTATGAGTTTTAAATGTATATTTTTTTAAAATAAATTTTCGCAATATTTATATTTTATTTAAATTAAATGTCACCACTTTATTCAAAACAAAAACAATATATTTAATAATTATTTTTGTTTTTATTATTCATTAACTTTTTTTTCATTTACTGAAAATATTTTACCATATATTCGCACAAATTATATTAATTTTCAATTTTTAAATAAAATTATCATTCACACTTCTTCGGAAAGACACATTTCCACTAAAATACGCGTCACATATCATACACAGTGTACACGCACCTTCAAACGTTTACGCCGGGTCTTCACTACCACACACTTCGATGTCACAGCCGCAACTGAAAGGAAAATTCGCATGAAAATCTCACTTCACTTGATTGGGAAATCAAAAGTTCAAAATGCTGCGGCTGCGGCTGCGGCAGCGCCACCAAAAGCATGCAACTAAAAATAAACACACACACACATTCTATTATGCTAGTATGTATGAAGATGGCTCGCTCGCAAATATTTTGTTTGCTGTTGTTGTTGTTGTTCTGGCTCTGCGCAGACACACCGATGACGTTGTGTGGGAAAAACGTGCATTTTCATCTTTCGGCCTTTCTTGGCTGGTATTTTCAATTGTGTTTCACTTTTCATTACTGCTGCATATAAACACAACATGTTGCAAGTTGCAGGTTGCGTGTTGCATGTTGTCTGCAGTGTTTTGTTTGTTGTAGGCACGTGTTGAAGTTTTGTGTGGTATTTGATTGAATAATTATTATATTTAAATGAGCTGGTTAAGTAAGGCCGTGGTGGAGGATTACTCTCAGATATGAATAGAGCTGAAGAAAAGTTCTGAAAATACTGATAAGATCAAGAAGCCTTTGATTTTTCTCAATTATAAGTGCATGACTTTTTGGGTTCTGAATTCGTATGTACTTAACCTCCTCTTCAATTTAATCACATCGCTGGCAAAACTACCGAAGAAATCCCTTTCAGCCACTATTAAAAATGAGACCAAGTCGCAGGTAACAGGTTAACACTTTACTCCAAAACCGGACAAAAAAAAACAGAAAACACAAAACTGTTTTGAACATAGAATACAAATATTCAATTCCATCTGCAATCGGTTGGAACGCGAGTACGTTCCGGTTATATAGTCCAGTCCCACATGAAACGCGTGTTTTGATCTAGGTCGTCACTTGGGTTCGTTCCGATTACTTATATATAGACCCGACCGTTAGGAAACGGGTTTTCAGTTCCAAGTCGATGATAGGAACGGAAATCCAGTGTTCGAGTTGTTTCTGGTTACATTACCCGGTAGAAATAGTGTGTTTAGTAATGCGCCTCTCTAACTAGCACCTAACGGTATAAATACTCAAAATTATTACTGAAAAGAGTTTATTTAAGGTAAGTTATAGGTTGATCATCTTATGTGGTATATCGATAGAACTTGTCTCACAAAGGATTTCTGTAACTTCATTCTCCTAAAAAGAGCTTAAGGGGTGAATATAATGTTCTTTCATGAATCTGAGGTCGTCAAGATCTTTGTAGATATTTTGGAAAAAATTCTCAAGGAACTCAAAGCACACAGTTTGAATAGTTCTTGAGAATTGAATAGTTCTTTTTGATTGTTGACGTTCTCTAGATAGATTATTTCATTGAACTTTCATGGTCTTGGGAGAAAGGTTTCGAGCATTTATAGAAATTTTGGGATAGTTTTCTCTCTGGTCCATGCTTTTAAATATGGCTTGTTTTTAAAAATCCAAAGATAATCTGAAATATTGTTATGCAGGGTTACTTTTTACAACTAATCGTTGCGTATATTTTTGGGTCCAACAATTACTTTTCCTTCGCGAAATCATCCGAAAAACCGCTAATATTAAAATTAGCTGCAAATAATATATTTAAGTTTTCGCATAAGAACAAGAAAACCAGCAAATATATAAATAAAGCAAAACTGCCTTCCGCGTAAATAGCGGCAAAATAAATATACAAAAATCTGTTTTATCATTTTCTGCACGATTTCGTCATTAAATCGAGAACAAAATTAAGAAAAAAGTAAAAATCCGCGAAATTATTAAAGAAAACATGGAAATATTAAGAAAACATTTCGATTATTGTATATGTGTGCACATACACAACCATAAATTTCGATTAATTTTATGCTTTGTTTGCAAATTTTTTTGTAACCGTTAGGCTGCGATTGTACTAGAATAATAGAATTGAGGAAGTAAAGAACAAGAATAATTTGGCTGTTACATCGCTGACTGTAAACGTTGGCAACGCTTCGCCACATTTGCTCTTTTGTTGCTTTTATTAGCGGAAAGCGATTTTTACACTTCTTTTTTATATACATTTCGTACGAACTAGATTAATTATGCACAAATTATGAGATTTTTAAATTTAGATTACTTGATATATTTATTTTCGGAGCACCAATTTAAAGTAATTATGGAAGTAATTACACTGTGGAAGCAATATACGATATTGTGGGTGTAAATAATGCATAGAAATAAAACAAATATATGGTACATAGATAAATATATATGTAAATATATTATATCAAAATAATGTAAATTAAGTTTAATTATTTTTGTAATTACATTCAATTACAACTAACCAAATCTTTCAAATTTAAACTTTAGTCTATTAAAATTACAATTTAAATATTATGTAATTTCATATTTATGTTTTTAGGTGTAATTGTCGCTACAAAAGCTTTCCCGCTAATTTTAGTTATTTAATAATTTTGTTAAACAATGCATGCGAGATATTTATTAACGATTTTTTAGTAATAGTAATTTTATATAATTATAGGCGCTATCACATTTACATCAATATTAATTGCATATGACACGCTTTGTTGACTATTGCGTTGCTTCATCTCTAAAAATAATATTGTGTTAATTTTAAATCTAAAATGTGAAACTGGCACATCATAATTATATATAGTAATTATACAATAATTACAACGAATTGGCTACCAAATAGAGCAGCAGTTTCTGAATTTTTATTATAAAAAAGTGTGCTTTTATTAAACCAAAAGAAAAAACGGTAAATTCGGTTGCACCGAAAGTACAATACCCTTCACACAGCAAAAAAGTTTGTGCATATTACTAGATAACCCTTTGTTTTATAATGGTATACAATTTTCTCGAGTCTGATTTGCCATGTCACCGTAAAACCTCCCGTCGATTACATGTACATATACTTAGCTTCAAAAATTTACATGCAAAGTAATTAACAAAGTGATGATTAACTCAAGATTGGATCACGAACACAAGTATTTCATTCATTGAAGGTCGTAAAGTCATCAAAAACTTGCGTCTGCTAGTCCTCCTCTGTTAATGAAAATAACATCGAACAAGTTAAAGAAGCAGTACCTGAAAATCGTAGTATTGGTATAAAAGAGATAGCAGATCAACATGCCTTGTGGATCGACTGAACCATTTTGGTTAATGCTTTGGGTATAAAGCGTGTCAATGCCTGACCAAATGATGTTTGGCAACGTAGCTTTTTTAAAGGCGAGAAAAAATATCTGTGGTAAAAATTTGGTTTTTTTTGTTTAGTCCGGAATAAATTCGACAACTACTAAAAATTATAATATACATAAATTTTAAGTCAGAAATCTGTATCATCTGTAATTTATAAATAAACAGCCCAGAGACATTAAATTTTACACCCGAGATGGTACGAAAGGGTTTTATAGGAGTCGTGAATAAAATTTGGTTTGGCACCGCAGCCATTTAAGTGAAAACCCATATCTCAGGACCTACCTCACTGCTATTGACCAAATTTAATATGTAATATTACCTTGACATTTCTATGTTTCAATGCGAAATTGGGCGAAATCAAACTATAGCCACGCCTATTTCCCCCAATAAGGAAATTCCATCCATCTGATTCTCTCACTTTCCGGTCTGCAAATCAAGAACCAATGAATGTATCGGGCATGTAACTTTGCCCCACAATTATTCAAGCCGCATATACCGAATATGTGGACACCAGTTATAACAGGGAATATTTTATCGGAAATATCGGTCTATGTGTGAGATATGTTATTAAAATTCCTAGCAAATTCCGTCCTGATAACAGTGTGCCTGTATTCTAAAAATAGGTTGAATCGAATAAAGGCTTCTTTTACCCGCATTATACCAAATTAAATTTTTTTCGAGCTTCCGGTTTATTTTACCGAATATGTCTTCAAATATGTGGGTTAACTTAGTAAAAACGAGAGAGAGTATTTTACTTATAATAATAAATCTTTGTAGCTAAAATGAATAAAATCGGGCGATAACTTCACTTCGCCCCCAATATTACGATTTTGGAACATACGGCTGACTTTACTACATATATATTGGTGATGATAAGTGTACCTTAATGAAACTCAGGGTGGAATATTTTTAGTATGTGGCATTGCCAAAAATGATAATATTGGGTCAATGCATTCCTTATACCCCATATACCTAATATACAATTTTCGCACTTCCGCTTGGCCGTATATCATATATAAAAATTTCCCACACTCCCATAAACTACATATAATGATTTTCGTGTTTCTAACAAGACTGATGACGAATATGTTTCTCAGTTTGTGAGTTGTACCTATATTTGAAAAATTACTTGAAAATATGTTCTCCAGTATACCTTAGCAATAACCACATTAATCCTTTTCTCTGCCCCAATATAGAATATATTATGATTTCCGACTTTCCATCTGACCTTATACCGTACAGGTTGGTCAAAATGTGTGATGTTTTTATGAAATTAAATGGACAGGTTTCTTTGGAATTATCTCATATCAATAATAAAACGAATTTCGATCCTCCTTTTTTCCACACCAACTCCAATTAAAATTTTGGACATGTGCTTTTCTCTCCAAGAAGCTGCCCATTTGTTGCAAACGCCGATATCAGATCGCTCTAACTGTGTTGTTACAGGTAAACTAAGTCATGGGTTACTTTATGCGTTACCAATCTTTTTTCAAAATCTGATGGCTCTGAGTCAAAACCATTAGCTGGAGAGTTTTATTTTCTATAACATAGAAATATCAATAATACTTGATGGAAGTCAGATATGATTTCAGAATATGGTTAATACGTGTGTTGACCGGCATAAATAGTATGTTTTTATTTTTTTTAGTTTTATTTTTTTCAGCTCCTCAGTTCCGAGGAACACTTTAGTATTTGTTCTCAAATAAGAATAGAGTAAAATTAAACGACAGTTGTTTATGTGTTGGAAAATACAATGCAGAAGATACTTCTGTGTGGGTTGTGCGAAGTGTACATTCTAGTGTATTTCACATGTCATATCTTTTGTTTTCAAAGAACCACGTTCATTGACCTTGCC